AGCCCCCTGCCCAGGGGCCCGCCAAGCTGGTGAAGAATTGTTTTCTCCCCCTGAGAGAATATTTCAAGTATTTTTCAGCAGAACTCACTTCCTCTTTATAAATGATTTATTTTACTATGAAGAAAAAAAGACTTTTCCTAGAACCAGGCAACTTTCCTTACATTGTTTCTTTTTTCCTTTCCAAATTATTATTTTATTTGCTTGACTTCGGATTTCCCAAGGTTGCCACAGACATGTGTTCCCTTTGGGTGTGGTGCTGCAGGGCCCTGGCCCTACAGTGCCCTTCTGGGGAGGGGGGGTGGGTGAAGTTCCCAGCCCCTGACCGGGGACACCACCCTGATGTTATGAAGCATATTTGCTGCTGAAAATGTTTCTGTGTGCCAGTTGAGAAGTTAAAAATATATTTATTGTGGTTGTTATGGGTCACATTCTCGTGTTTCTGTGTGTAAGGACAGCCTTTATTGTATCCTGTGGGACGTGGGACTGTGCATGAGGAAGATGAGCAGGACACATTGTCCAGAGAGGGTGTGGCCCTCGCTCCCTGTGTGCTGGGCCGTACTGGCCATGGCCATGCTGGCTTGTGACCGCCATTGGCCGTGATAATGAAAACCACTCAGCCTGATGATAGCTGCACGAAATTGTAGAATATCACACTTGGGAAGCAAAGGGAGCACGGACTGAGCAGGCCGCGCAGAGGCCAGATCCGCTCGCGAGGCACGAGCCCGCGGGTGCCCCTTACACCAGAGGGACTTGCTTGCAGAAGGCAGGATCCCTGCTCACCCCGAGCCCATCGCAGAGCTGGCTTCAAGTCACTCGTAATGAATCCTAAAGGGATCTTTCTTGATGAGCCAGAGAATCCCCCCAGGGGTGTAGATTAGACAGTTAACAGACACAGCTTGTCCCGGGGGTCCCAGCAGGGGCAAGGAGCCCCCCACCCCCGCCCCAGCCCGTGCTGGCACTGGTAGTAGAATATGGTGAAATCAGATGGGGAGACTGTCCGGGATGACCCGGGGAGGCCCTTAATGTGATCACAAAGGTCCTTATCAGGGGAGGCAGAGGGAGACCTGACTTCATACAGGGAAGGTCATGACCCTGGAGAACGCGAAGCAGCGACAAGCCAAGAAAGCCTGGGGCCACCAGGCGCAGAAGACCTCGGAAGGATCCTCACCCAGAGCTCCTGAAGGAGCTGATTCCAGACATCCAGCCTCCAGATCTTAGAGAGAGTACATTTTTGTTGCTTTAAGATGCCAAGCTTGTGGTGATTTAGGGCTCCCCCAGGAAACAGACACACCCGCTAGGAGAAAAGATGGGCTCCCCGGGACCCGGGATCACATTGAGGGCTGCCCACAGGTCCCCTGTTCCGGGCTGTGCCGGACCCCAGGGAGCTGCTCAGGACCGCCCAGGGGGAAGCCTGGGTCTCTAGCATCAAAGCGCATGCCGCTCCCTTCCACGTCTGCACCGAGAACTCGGCAATCCCCACCACCAATACCATTCCAGCTTGGTGCCCAGGGCGGCCTAGATGTTCCTCCAGTGGGCTTCTGCCTCCACACCCTCTGACTGCCGGAGAAACATGGTCACGGTCAAGGGGAAGAAAGGAAAACCTCTCAGCTGCAGAGAGCCTCCGAGGGCTGTTCTGTTTTTCCATTTGTCTTAAAATAACTCTGTGTTTGTGATCCACGGGCTAGCGTCCGTGTGAATGTTTTATACGTATCAACTCACAATAACCACATATGAACTCAGCTGCTTTTTGAGGAAGGTGTTGTAACTATTTCCACTTCACAAATGGGAAAATGCGAGCACAGAGGAGTTAAGTAACTTGCCCCAGGTCACACAGCTCCTGAGAAGCAGAGCTGGGATTTGAATAGAACATGCATTTATCAGGCTGAGGTTCCTGGGGCTGGTCTTGGAGGTGCTCCTTCCCCCCACAGCCCCAAGCCTGGCTAGAAGGCCCCTTCCAGCCACCTGCATCCCTGCCCCTTCTCTACCTGCTCAACAAACAGGATGTTCCCTCGGTCCCCATTCTGGACTGCCCGGTAGCAGCACCTGGCCTGGGGCCTGGCACGAGGGGCTGCTGCCCAGGAAGCAGAGCCCGCACCCCTCAGCTCTGCAGGTTAGCCCCTTCGAGCCCCTCTCCCCATCCCGCCCTCCCTCCCCCCTGCCCTGGGGCAGTGGCCGGGCCGCCTCGAGCTTCCGGACCTACCCACCCAACTGGGCACCTTCCCTTCCCCGCGCCTAAAAGCCCCTTGCACTTTGGGCCCATCCTTCTCCGCCCTCCAACCCCCCGGGGCAGCGTGGGCTCCTCGCGGGGGGCCTCCGGAGGTAGAGCTCAACCCAGGCGTAGGCCAATCAATGCAGCCTAGCCCCTCCCCCTTCCAATCAGAGGGAGTCCCGGGATTCGCGGGGTGGGGGTGGGGGGGCTGGACCCGGGAAGTGTGGGAGCGGGAGGTGTTCCCAGCCCGGCGATCATCCTCACCTGCGGATTTTGCCCCGGCTGGCCCTCGCCAAACGGGTTCTCTGCTGTCAACTGCCGCCAACCCGAGGGGCAGCAGGGCCACCGACATCGTGTCTCCTTCCAGACCCGCGGGCCTGAGCCGGTGCCCCTCCCCCAAGTGTACCCGGCTACATTTGTTCAAGCTGCGGCTTTGGATGGCAATGGTTTTCCGGTTCTGGGAATAGGAAGCGTCCTAAGACCTCCGTATGATTTGATTTATGACCACACCCTGCTCTCCTAGCCAAATCTTACCTTTCCTCTGGGCCCCCATCTCCCGGCCCCTTCATGGCGCCCCAAGTTCAGACGGCCGGTGCCCTCACTGGACACGTGAACAGAGTCCCGACCTGGCTCCCTGGCTGTGCCCTCCTTGCTAAAGGGGAGGGTGGCCCCGCTTGGCCTGTTTAAATCCTGCACCCTAATTTCCTAGCCTGCCCGGAAGGGGTGAAGCCCCGAGCTTTGGACTGCATTCCCAGTCCCTCCCGGCCAGGTTTCACCTGCAGGCCCCTCCTCCCTGCGCGTCCTCCTTGGCGGCTCGTGGGCGTCCAGCCCCTGCTTGCTCTCCGGTTTCCACAGGAATGCTAACTTCCATGGAGCAGAGGTTCTGTTTTCAGAGTTCATCCTTGCGCTCACAGAGCACCTGGCCTGCAGGAGGTGCACCTACATCTTTGTTGAGTGGATGACAGGCTGCTGGAGGAGGCTGGGGTCAGGGGAGCCCTCCTTGCTTGGCCCTCCCCCACACCCTGCCGTCTCCTGCACCCCCCTCCCCAGAGGCCGGCCTCTGCCTCCCCATCAGCCTGGGTAGCGGACTTGGAGAGGGTGGGGGGGGGTAGTGCGAGGACACACTGCCCCTGCCAGCTCCCCGGACTCCAGAGGCGGGACGTCTGGGATTCCAGGCCCTTCCGGGGGCAGCCTCTGCAAGAAGAGCACCCTACTCCCTCGTGGCCCCACCTACCTCACCTCACTGGCTCTACCTGGCCTGCGTGGACGGGGTGGGACAGTGACTCAGCCGGGCAGCGCAGAGAGGAGGCCGAGGGGGCTGGGCGGGGTGGGGGAAGGGAGCAACCGGGGCTTTTAACCCGTGCTCCGCGGCTTCGCGCACTTTCCCAGAGAGAAAAGAGGAGTGCCAAGTCCCACAGCCTTGGAGGAGCAGACGTGAACTGGCTTCCACGCAGTGGGCCCCTCAGAGCCTTTAATAGCCACATATGCTGTGGCGTATGGCACAGGATCCCCCGAAAGGATAAGGGGGCAAAGCTGGGGGCGGGCCTCCCGGACCTGGCGCTGGACTGGACAGCAGAGCCCGCCTGCCTTCCCTCCTTCCTTCTATTCGTTCACTCGTTCCTAAACGGGGCTCTTACTTCCCCTAAGACTTGGAGGTGCTGACTCCCCTTCGAGGGAGGCAGGGGAGGAGGGAGGCCGGCGGGCACTCAGACCAGCCCAGCCTCGGGCAGGGAAGCGTGTGTTCCTGGGGCCGGGTGCGCGGTAGGCGCCGCCGCGGCCCGGGCGCTTGGGGGCGCGGACGGTCTGCGCGACACTGGGGGACAGCACTTGGCCTCCCACGGCCCCTGCAGCCTGGCAAGCCTCCCACAGAGCCCTCGGCCGCCCTCCTCCCTGGTATCACGCACCACCACCCCACTCCCGCAAACTTCCCGGGACACCTTTAGCGCCCAGGTCCCTGCCCAGCGACCGTGGCCGGGGAAGACTAACTTGTGGAGCTTGTGACAGAGCTTCCGTTCCGCTGGCCCCGCCCACGGCCATCGTGGGAGGGACTGGGCAGGGGGTGGGATCAGAGGCGAGGCCGGGCGGGGGCCACGGAAAGCACTCGGCCCGGCGACTTGCTTGGAGCTCAGAACCTCGGAGGTGCGCGCGCGCAGTTACAGCTGGGTTCCAGCGCTCCGAGGGCTCCCGCGGCCCGAGGTCTCTCGCGCTCCGAGGTCTCCCGAGGCCCGAGGGCTCCCGCGGCCTGAGGTCTCTCGCGCTCCGAGGTCTCCCGAGGCCCAAGGGCTCCCGCGACCCGAGGTCTCCCGAGGCCCGAAGGCTCCCGCGACCCGAGGCCCCGCCCCCACCATGCGGCTGAGAAGGTTAGTCTGCGGATGCCGGGGAAGAAGCGGGGTGGCGGGGGGCGCCGCAGGAACAGGGAGCAGGATCCCGAGGGGGTCGGATAGGACACCCACTCACCTGGTGGCCCAGGCGGAATCCGTGGGAGGGTCGGCCCCTGGGAGCCAGGCGGCATCCGGAGCCCCTACCTGCAGGCGGATGGCATCCGCCCAGGGGTGGGGCGGGTCGTAGGGGACCAACGGCAGCGCGTGGGTGTACTGGGAGGCGGATCCCCGCGAAGGAAGGAAAGCAGCCGCACACTGGACTAGCGGACCAGCGCCCCCGGGGCCCCCGCGACCCAGACCAAACCCCCCGCCCCAGGCCGGAGCCCCCAACGGGTTGCCCAGAGGCAGGCCTTGACCTCGCAGTGCCAGGATCACTCTTCGGGGCCAGCTGGTGCCCACTGTCTGGCGCCATGTCCTCCCCCCACACACCTAGGATCCCCCTCCCCCATCAGCGGAGCCTCCGGGAGGACGGGCTCAGGCCAGCCCATCACTCCTGGTCCTTGCTAGCGGGAAGGTGTGGATGACTGCTTTCTCCCAGCTTTTTGCCAGAATACCCCCTTCAGGTCACATCGTGGCGTCGACGGGCTGTGCCCCCCTTGATAAGCCGGTGTGGCGGCAACACCTGGGTCCTGCCACCGAGTCTCCCCAGTTATAGATGTAGGTCCTTGAATGTCACAGCTGCCCATACCCAGAGCCTGGGGGGTTGGCCTAGGAGCCAGGTGGGACAGCCAGGGCCCAGGAGTGCCCAAGAAGAGGGCCCAGGGAGCACCGAGGGAGAAGGCAAATCTGTCTCCCTCCCCAGAACCCGGAGCATGTGTTCACGCCCCCAGGGAGCCCCCAGATAACCCCACGAGGCCCTGGGAGGCGTATGTCCCCTGGGCCCTCAGCACAGAAAGGGGGTCTGATGGGCACCATGGGAGACCAATGGGGGGGTCACCAAGGTTTTCACAGCCTTGTGTTCTAGAAGGTAGCTCTGGCTCCAGGGAAAGGACCTGGACATGGGGGTATGGAAGTTGTCCCTGAGGGCAGGAATGGTGGCCCCAACAGGGACAGTGACAGAAGACAGGCCTGCCTGCAGGCTGTGACTTCTGTAGGGTGTGGGGGAGCTCCTGATGGCCCAGGGTCTGGCTTGGCAGGACATGCCTGAATGTGCTCTCAAGGGACGGGCCTCCATGCCCACCCAGACGACGGCTCTTGGGTGCGAGGCAGGGGTTCGCACGGGTCCGAAGCTCACTCAGCAGACACAGGATCCTGGGAGGCCTGCAGGAGGGGGTGGCTGGGCTGAGGCATGCAGGGGGTATGGAGTCTCCCAGGTCGAAGGTCTGCTTCAAGGAGTCTGGGAAGTCCCCAGAGGGATTTGCTGGCCCCTGGCGGCCAAGCTGCCCGCCAGCTCTGGAAGAGCCACCCGATTTGGTTTCTGGTTTCAGAATGATCATGTTCCTTCAGAGGGCTGCCCAGCAACTCAGCGGCCCCTGCCCTTGCACACATTAGATCCTCTCTGTCTCCCAAAACTTTTTTTATTAAGATTTATTTATTTATTTATTTCAGAGAGAGAGAGAGAGAGCACGAGTGGGAGGGGCAGGGAGAGAGAGAATCCTTGAGCAGACTCTGCACTGAGCAGGGAGCCGGACCCGGGACTTGATCCCGCGACCCTGAAATCACGACCTGAGCCGAAACTAAGAGTCGGGTGCTTAACCGCCTGGGGCACCCAGGTGCCTCTCTGTGTCTCAAAACTCAAATGGAACTCTGACTACAAACACCTTCAAAGTGTATTTTTCTGATTTCATACAATTTCTTGGACTCCATGTGCAGCAGAGGCCAGGCCAGCGCTGGGCTGGAGGCTGTGACCTTGGGGGTGGCTCCCACCACCCCTCGTGATCACACTGTCGGCATCGGGGGGGCTGGCTGGTGGCTCAGGACTGGCAGTGCTGCTGGGATGGTCCTGACCCCCCCTGAGGAGTCCCCCCACCTCGGGAACCGCCTGCTGGGCTGAGGCTGTGGATGTGGTCGCATTTCTCTGTGGGCACAACCACTCCCGCCCACGAGGAGCCGTCTGCCTGGTTTGGAAGGAGCAGGAACTCACCTGACTTTCTGGTTGTTTCTTTCCAGTCCCGGGATGTTCCTGCTGCTGCTTGGCGCCCTGCAAGCCAGTAAGTCCGGGGGGCTCCTGGGGGGCACCTCTTACTCCAGCCCTTCAGGGCTGACCACTGAGGCTGCAGATGCGGGCATCAGCAGGGTCCTCACCACGGCCCTTCCTGCTTCCCTGGGGGCCCCTGAGAGAAAGCTGGGTCCCGGGGCTCGGGTAGCGAGCAGATTGAAGGCCACAAAGGGGAGCACTTGTGCAGACCCCACAGTTCTTGTTTGAGTTCGTGTTTTCGCGGAGGTAGAAGACAGCTCGTCCCACGTGTTTCAGTCCCTCTGCTTTCCCGATGAGCTGGGCCCCCCCGTTTCTCCTGACCCCTTCGCCCCGGTCCACCCCGGGGAACCTGCAAAGCCACCACCTTGCAGAAGAGCAGGGAACAGGGATTCGGCACTGCCGCTGAGGCCGAGGGCTCGCCGAGCCTTCCAGCCCCAAGCGTGGTGGACCGGGGACGCCATCGCTTTCCCTACAGGCGTTTCTGTGGTTGCAGACGGTAAAATCGCTCTGGGTACAGCGCGTCAGCCTTCCAGAGGTAGTGTGAGCAGCATTAGAATGCTGTTGCTGAGAAACGGGTTTCTTGTGAAAGTCTGAATTAAAAAAAAACAAAAAACGTTTGTTTTGAATTAATTGTAAATACCCAAGAAGTAGCCAAAACAGTGCAGCGCGGTCCTGGGTACCCACCTGTCCTCCAACTTCTCCCGATGCTAGCCTCTCATGTAAGGTTAGCAATCCATGTTGGACAATACGGTGCCTGCCAAAAATGTCTGAATTTTAAGCATGCTATCACATTCCTACATCTATCTGATTAATATGTTACGTTTCTGCTGAAATGAGTCAGAAGTGGTGTTTGAGTTTTGTGACCAAAAAGCTTCCTCCCCGCCCCCCCCACTCCCCAGTAGAGTAACTTTGCAGGCAAAGGAATCAACCGCAGAAAATCAATTTCATACTTTTCGAATCACAGCAGATATCCAAGAGCAAGAAGTCAGAGCGCTGGTGGGCAGCAACGTCAAGCTCAGCTGCGGTTTCCACGAAGGACACACTTTTGATTTAGATGACCTTTATGTGTATTGGCAAATCAGCATCATGGGCCACCCAACGACCGTGACATACTCCCTCTCTGGGAATAGCTCGGCCGGCCTTGGGGACACCCGTTACAGGGACAGGGCCTGGCTCATGCCGGAGCGCATGAAGCACGGCGACTTCTCCCTGCATCTCTACAACATCACCCCCCAAGATGAACAGAAGTTCAACTGCTTGGTGTTTAGGAAATCCTTGCAGTTAAAAAAGATTTTGGAGGTGATGGTGACGCTGCACGTGGCAGGTGAGACCACCAAAGCTGGCGGGAGCCATCCCACCCCAGCCTTACAGCCCAGAGCACGTATGAACAAGGCGCAGTCCCGGGCTCATTCACCTGCTTCTTGCGTTAAGAACCTCCTAATCTCTCCTGGCAGGTTTCCGTCTAACCGGGGGTGGGGCTGAGCTGGTTGAAAACTCATCCAACTGGTAGGAAGTTTTCTGTAGCCTGAGTTGATCTGGTCTCACGGAAGAACTCCTAATCTTGCTCTTTTCCTTAAATTCTCCAACTTAACCCCAGCTAGATGTTCTGAATGAAATTAGGAGAGAGTGCTGTAAAGCCACTAACTGAGATCAGAATTTTAGGAGACAATTCAAGTCGACCGAGGACCTCAGCTCAGCAGAGACGGGCTGTGTCATCTGGAGTGGGGCCACTCACGGGCAGAACAGTGTGGGGGGCTGCCCAGACCACAGTCCACTGGGGTCAGGAGCACAATGGGCCACCTCCCCTCTAACCTGGCCTTGATGCGCTGTGCCCCTCCAGTTCTGACCTTCAGCACCTGCCTCCCTCACCACCCATCCCCCTCTCCTGCAGCAAACTACAGCATGCCCGTGGTCCAGGTCCCAAGCGGCCTGCCCGAGAACGAGGAGCTCACGTTCACGTGCACGTCTGTGAATGGCTATCCAAAGCCAAATGTGTACTGGATCAACAAGACGGACAACAGCATGCTGACCGAGGGCCTGCAGAACAGCACGGTCTTCCTGAATGCACGGGGCCTGTACGATGTGGTCAGCGTCCTGCGGATCAGGCGGACCCCCAGTGTGAATGTCGGCTGCTGCATAGAGAACGTCCTTCTGCACCAAAACCTGACTGGCAGCGGCCAGGCAGGTAAGGTCCTCCGGGGTCTGCCAGCGGAAGCCAGCCCAAGACTGTGGGCCTGCAGTGACTCGGACGACAGGCCCCTGCAAGGTGCCTTGGCGGTGGCTTCCAAAAGCTGGTTGGAAGGGGGAGGCGGTGACAGGCAGCCCTTGAAGGGCAGGAAAGGGGCTGGGCACTCAGTGCACGTTCCTTGACTTAATGTTCATTCTCAGGCTCAGCTTTGCTGACCCATTTTACAGATGAGGGACTGAGGATGGAAGGTTGTGTAGGACCAGGCAGTGATGGCATCAGGATTGAAGGCATGCCTGCACAGTCTTTGAGCTTGTGCCCCTTCAGAAGGCCAGAGCCCCAACCCGGGGTTCCAGCTGCCAGAACCGGGCCTGCCTGCTGGCTCAGGGCTTCCCCGCGGGAAGGGTGCAGACAGGTGGCTCCTTCATAGAGGCCGCGGGCTCTTCAATCTGCGTGTCCCTGTCAGGACGTTGAGATGACAGGTTCCCAGCGGGTGGAGGTGGGGTCCGTGACAGTGGTGATGCCCGCAGGACACCCCCGCTCCCCAGTAGCCTGCAGGGCCCTGAGCAAACTGGAGAGAAAGGCTGGGCTCCTTGTTCAGGAGTTATAAGAAGCCAAGATGGCAGCAGCAGAGCGTGACACCACGCACAAGCCTTCCGAGTGTGGGCCTTCAGACCTCTGCGTGGGTCGCACGCCGTGAGGCTGGCTGTGACCCCCGGGAACTTCGGCAGGGCCGCCATCTTCCTTCCTGAAATCAGGGCACAGCCTTATGACTCAGTGGTCACGGTCTCTGAGCCCAGACGGACCAGGACAAGGGCTGCCCCTGACAGCCCGCCTCTGACCACGGCCTCTGAGCCGCGCTCTCCCTGGCAGAGCAGTCCGGGCGGGGGGTGAAGGGGAACGGGAGGGTTCTCCTAGGCAGTGGTGTCGGCTCTAGTGCTGTGGGACATCTGGGGGGCGTGTACAAGCCCCCCACGCCCAGACCCAGTGGATTAGCACCTCTTAGCCTCTCTCAGGATGATTGCAGTGCACGCTCAACACCGAGCCACTGAATGGTTTCTCCAGGTTTGGAGAAACATGGGGCGTTTGTAACAAGCTTCCCAGGGGTGCCATGGCTGGTCTGCCCATGAGAACCACATTCCAAGGGGCTAAGCAATGGGACGTTGAGATGGGAGGGATTAGCCCCCTCGTGCAAGGGGGTGCAGCCACGGCGGGGAACGGGGTACAGCCACGGCGGGGAACGGTAATCGCAGAGTTTCCGCACGGCCCAGCCGTTCCAGTCCCGGGCGCTGGCCCGGCAGAACTGAAAATGAGGCTCACATCCTGGTACATGAGCGTTCACAGCAGCATTATCCACACGAACCAAATCACGAGCGGATTGACACATCCATCCACACGGTGCAGTATTAGCCACGAAAAGGAACGAAACACTGCCACGTGGAGGGGTCTTGAGGACGTCAGGGGCAGTGAGAGACGCCAGGCGGGAAAGGCCCCGCACTCTCTGGCTGCATGTATATGAAACTCCTGGGACAGGCAAATCCAGAGCCAGACAGTCGCTGCGTGGGGGCCGGGCGGGGGGAGGGGAGGCAGGCACGGCAGATGGGGTCGGGGGGCCCTTTGGAGTGAGGGAAAGGCTCTGGAACCAGATCACGACGATGGCCGTGCCACGCTGTGGACGGACGTCACTGCAAAATGGCAACATTGACGTCATGGGAATTTCACCTTGGTTTTTGTTTTTTTAAACCCAGCAATAAAGCTGAAAAAAATAAATCACATTAGCCAGGAGGAACGTGTGCTTGCCGCCATGCCCGGCCCGGTGCGGGCGCTGCAGAGGCCGGGCTCCGGGCGGCCCGGGCGGGGGTGCCACCAGGAACACAGGGAAGCTCACCTGAGGGAGAGAACCCCTCCCCCTCCCCCCACTGGCCTCGGGTTCAAACATCCCAAAACAGTGCCAGGGAAATGCTGTGGCCTCAGCACCTCCCTGAAGCCCCTCTTGCTCTGTCAGAAGGCCCTTCCCTTCCTCCGCACCCGTTAAGTCTTGCATTCCTTTCCTCTCTCTTGTAGAAACGCCCAGGGCAACCAAACCCAGCAACACGGGGAGCCACACCGGCGTCCACAGAAAGGGCCACAGGACGGTGCTGAGCGCCCTGGCTGTGCTGGGCGTGGTCGTGGTGGTGGCTGCGGCCGTCAGCTGGGTGTGCAGAAGCAGGTGCCCCCACGGGATCCACGCCAGGTATCAGACCAGGTGCTGGTGGTCGGGCCTAAGCATTTCTGGGGTTGGCGTGAGTCAGATGCCTTTTTCAAGATGTTGGCACTGCTCGAGGCCGTCTCCCAGCTTGGGGTGGGAGTGGCAGCTTCTGAATTTAGAGGTCAGGATGGAGTACATTTCTATGGAAGCCAAGCTGCCTTCAGTCCTGAATTCTGGCCAAACTTAAGGACAGATGGGGAAAGTCTGGGTGTTGACCCTCTAAAACAAAGCAGCAGAATGCACAGAAAAGCCCAGAACACAAACAAGGTCACACCCCAAGGGTCAACCAGGAAGGGCTATGGGGGGCAAGGGACGTCTTGCCAGGTCAGCCTGGTGGTAGAGGCCAGCGAGCATCCCCTGAGATAAAGGTGACAAAGCTGGGGACCTTCCAGAACTTTCCGGAGGGTGGGGCCCGGGTCGCTGCTGGATTAACAAGTTTGCTCCAAGGTGGAGCCCTTCCCTGAGGGAAGTTTCCCTGTGCTCCCTGGGAGCCTCCAGCGTGTTGCCCATTTCGCCATCCCAGAAAGACTTCCCACGGCCTGTAGCCGCATGCCCGTCCGGCCAGGCCCTGGGGAGGTGCCCAGAGCCTCTTACAGTGCCCTGAACTTAGCTCTGACAAAGCATCTTCCTGGAAAGCCAGGTGGCCTGAGGGACCCTCCCCTGTGGGCTCCCCCCTGCCCAGCACCCAGAGCCACTGGGGGTTTAGAGCGGCCCCTTCCCCACCTTGTGTTGCCCACCCTGAGCATTTCTGGTTCCTTCCCACAGGTGCCGGGCTGCAAGGCCAGAGCAGGCATTGTCTGGTGAGTTGGCCGCAAGGGAAGGGGCCGGTGGAGAGCAAGTGCAGGTTATGGGAGTGGGCGGCTGGGTGGTGGCTTTCTCGGGGTCTGCCTTTGGCACGAGCTATACTTGATGGCCAGGGGAATAGATGTTTCCATTTTCAGAGACACGGTGAACCCCTCGGGAAGGCGCTTCCCACTTGCCCCCTTTGGCATGTAATCAATCCTTGCTGACGCTGGGTTACGGAATTTTCCAGACACGCAAGCAGAGAGCCTGGGATGATGACCCCCAGGCACATCCCCCGAACTTCATTCACCCTTTTCTCCCTAGGGCCAGCCTCCCCACTCCACCCCCACGGGGGGCGTGAGTGAGCCCAGGCACTGTGTCCTTTGTCAGAGAACAGCTACCCATGGCAAGCACCCCCACTGTCCCAGGAGCCAAGGTCAGTGTGATTCTTACACCCCTTTCTTTTTCTTTCTTAGACTATGTTTGACGAGAACTCACCGCCCGGAAGGTGGACAAGGGCTTCTGTGAGATGCCACCGGGAGGGACGGCGGACAGCAGCTTGAGAATTGCCTCGGGCAGGCCTGGTGGCCCAGGGGGACCGTCTGCCCCCATCGGCGCCATTAACAAGGGGGCTTCGTGGACACGGGGCCTCTCCGGCCTGAAGGGACACGCAGGACCATGCCTGACCCCAGGGAGAACGTTCCAGGGGCTGCCCCGATCCTGGAATGAGGACCTTTCGAAAGAGTCAGCAGCTCCAGAACACACATGCCCCCCATGTGGGCAGGCTCCCCAGCTCTGGGGCTTCGTGATGGCTCCCTCCCCCACCACCCCCCTGCAGCCCATGGGGCCCTTCTCAATATCCAAAACCTGCGGGGGGTTTGGGGAGATGGAGGTTTTCTGAGACCAGAGGAGGACGTCTTATTTAGGAAGAAGAGAGAGGGTGCAGGCTTTTCCGCGACTACCCTGCTGGGTGAAGGTCACTCAAGGGTGTCTGTGGGGCACGTAGGTGCAGGAGTCCCACTCCACCTGCACCCCGAGATGTGGGACCTGTGCGTCTGCACATGTGTGTGTGTCCAGGATGCAGGAAATGGTCAACACTGCAAAATCCCTGAATGACTCCTGGGAATTTGTGTTCCTCCGGGATCTTCACTGGGAAGAAACCCCAACCTTGTTTGTTTTGGTCAAAAGCTGGATTTCCCTCCTAAAAAGACAGTGGAATTTTTCGAGAAGACAGTCTGCTGCTGGGGCCACCATGGCAGGAGCCGCGGCCTCCGGGGAAACCCAGAAACTCGCTCAGGCAGGATTGGGAGCTCGCGTCTCCGGTGGACACGGGCTTTGCCAGGTGGCTGTCGAGGGCCTTCAGAGTGGCGCCATGACCCGCATGGAGGAGGCGTTCTCCTGGCAGAGCGGCAGCCGGTCAGAATGTGGCGCTAATTCCATCCACCCTCTGCACCTGTCACCCCTGGCCCCCCCAGAACCGACATAAACGCCAGGCTCCTCAGAGCCCCCGGGCCAGGCAGCGGACTGCAGAAGTATGCAGCCCACAGCTCTGATGGTTTCCACGTTGTGGCCCCAAATGAATCTAGCCACTCGTGTTCCCAGAAGGTTCTGTGGAGGAGGCTGCCAGGTCACGCGGGTGTGCATACCCCGTGGGAGACGCAGCCTGTCGTCCCGCCTGGGGTCACTCAGCACCGGTGGGCGGACGTCAGAAGCCTGCAGGCCCCAGACCCGGACCCGGACAAACAGGAGGACCAGGCTCAGGGGCGAAGCTGTTACAAGAAATTGTTCGTTGTCTATTTTTGTGCCCAGAACTCCTCACACGGCTCTGACATGAGTGTGGTGAGACTCATGAGCATCAGACCACGTGAAGCATTAGAAGGGACGTGTCGCTACAGAGGGACGGGGTCACGGGCATCCGGAGCAAAAAGCACAAGTGACTGCTGGGTGTGGAAGGGCGTGCGGAGCCTGCCTGCAGCCCTGGGCCCTTCCCCGGGGGGAGCCCCCCTGCAGCCCCCTGCAGCAGACCCTGCTCGCCGGGCGCCCACCCAGGCAGGACCCTGTGGTCTGGTTCCGGCTCCTTCGGGTCTGGGAAGATGTACAGTGACGCCTCGCCCCTCAGCCTGGACATCACCGTCTGCTCCTCATGCTGTGCTTTGGGCAGGTCGGAGGCCAATGTTCTCGTGTCTGCTTCTGGAAACCCGATTTACGAGAATACAAGATGGAAGCGGTGTCTGTGTCTAGCGGCTTCGGTCAGCCCAGCAGGTGCCTGCGAGTCTTGTCCTTCCTGCTCCTCCAGGGCCTCGCCCCACTGGTGCTCACCCCGGGGGACGCTGGGCAAGGTCTGGTGGCATTTTTCGGTTGTCACACGTGGGGTTGCCACTGGCCTTTAATGGGTAGAGGCACCCAGGACGACCTGCCACAGAGAAGTACCCCCCACCCCCGGGGGTCTGTGTCTGAGAGCGAGAATCCCTGCCCTGTGCAGTCACCTGCCCCTGGGAGGCAGGGCAAGTGGGGCCTCCTGTCCCCTACCGCATGGGGGCTCCCGGCCCACGGCTGTCTGTGGCGTAGGACAGGGGATTCATGGTTCACGGGCCCGGGCCAGGGAACATCCCCCCCTCAGGCTCCTTCCTGCTTGGCCCGGCTCCATCCAGAGTCTCGAACCATCTCACTGTGCTCAGTGTGTGGCCGGTGGGCGCCCAGCCTTGCTGTGGGGCAGAGGCCCCGCCCAGACACCCAGGCCCTTGGGAATCCTGGCCTCGGGGGGGCCCCTGGCTCCTGCCACAGCCGCCCATCCTGCACATAATAGGTGTGGTAAGACCACTGGGGAGGAGGCCGGGTGAGCACACAGGGCGGCTGCTCATCGTGAGGGCAGGGGACGGAAGCCTCAGCTGCCTGTGCGGCCTGAGCCAGACGCTTCTCCCTGCTGTAGGGTGAGGAGGCTGGAAAGAGCTGCTGCCCACTGGCCCTGCTGCTCAGATGCTTCGACGACCCTGGCCAGTGTGTTCGGCCCCCACCCCAGGGAGGGCAGCTGCGGCTTTCGAACGGCCATTCAGGCCGGGGCTGGAGCCGGCAGGCGGGCTCTGAGCAGTGCAGAAGGTCCCCCAGCCCCACATCTGGTCCCTCCCCCCCACCCCCCAGTTCCCAGCTTTCCAGAAACAGAAGGCAGCCACGCTGAGTGGATCTGAGATCATTCTGTCCTTAGAGACGGACTGCACTCTGACACCCCAACAGCACTAGAACCCCCGCCCCAGCTGCTCCCAAGGGTTCTCCAGCCCTGATGCAGGTGCCCCCCGGCGCCCCGCCTTCACCCCGGCATCTGGCCTCCTCATTCCCACCCTCCCAGGGCCCGTGGGGCGTTAATGTCAAGAATCCAGGGGCCAGGAGAGGAGGCCTGGGGAGGGGGCTCCTCCTGCCACGGTCCCTGGTTGGGAGGTTCTGGGAAGGACCCTCGGGCCCCTCACAGCACGAACAGAGGGAAGCTGTAAGGCCCAGATGCTGTGTGGGGTCCTGGCCAGCCAGCTCTGGGTAGGACGGGGTTGGCCGCTGGGGGCACAGGCTCCTATGGACCTTGATCTGGGCCTTCGGGGTGTGACAAGGGGTGTCTAAGCCAAGAACCGTCCAGGATCCTCGCTCCCTCCCCCATCCATGCTCCCCCGCTGACCTCCCTCCCCCAGCTCCCTCTCACTGGGTCTGGGCCTGAGCGCAGGGCTCCACCGTTCCCCGGGAGAGTGATTCATCTCTCGGAGTCCCTGCACGGTGCCAGGTGCCAGGGCTGCTGTGAGCAGGCCACCAGGAAGGGGGAAGGCACCTGTCACAGCCGAGGTGGCTCCCAGGCTGTGAAGGGGAGTGGTCACCCGACTGCCCTGGGGATCTGCACTCTGAGGGCCCAGAAGGCACAGCGTCTCAGGGAGGGCCGATGCCACGCGTGGTTCAAAATGTCACCCTGAACTGTCATGGTGGGGACAAGGGGACAGCAAAGATGCTTGCTTCAGATCCAGGCTGAGTCCCCCTTCTTCACGTTCTCCTTGAGTCCAAAGAATGACCAAGAGGTAACAGGGGCAAACACCAGAATTTGGCAAAATACAGCCCGAGAGGAGAGCTAGGCCCGGGCCCCCGGGAGTCCCGGGTGGTGAGGGCCAGGTGAAGGCTGTGAGCTCCGTGAGGGTCCTGGTGGCTTAGAGGTTTCTTCTTTCCCAGTCTGGAGGCCAGAGTCCAAGAACAAGGTGTTGGCAGGCCGGGTCCTGCGAAGGCTCACAGGGAGGACCCCTCCGTGCCTCCTCCGGCGGCCAGGGGCTCGAGGCCCATCCTGCGTAAGCCGCACCCCTCCCTGCTTCTGCCTGTGTCTGTCTCCCCCTCGTCCAGAGCACACCAGCTGCTGGATTTAGGGCCCACCCTGACCCAGGCCGACCTCATCTTAACTAAAATTTCGGGGGTAGGGGGACACCGTCCGACCCTCCCCAGTACCAAGAGGGAGAAGGCAGGGAGGGGCTCGGGAGAGGTCGAGGAGAGGGAAGAAGGGGCCAGCGTGGGGGCCCACAGCCCGGCCGGGGTCCGGACACACATGCGGGGCGTGCCTGTGGCCCGGTGCTCCCCCACCTGGGCCTTGGCCCCCGTGTTGGCCTGCGTGGACACAGCCCACATTCACTCCGTCCAAGGAGGGCCTCCCACGGGCCAGGCCCCGCAGGTGAGTCCTGCCCTGCCGGCCCACGATTCCCACTGCACAGGCCCCGGCCCTGGCACCGCATCACCCTTCCCATGGGCCCGCTCTCAGCCAGTCTCTACCGGTGGTGAAGTGGGTCTGGCTGCAGTCTGCATCAGAGCCTGCAAGAGAGGCTGACTGGGGAAGCAGCCCAGGCACCCTAGACCCCCGCCTTCCTCTGGGCCTGCCTGAGGGCCTGTCCCCCTCCGTGGACGGGCAGCCCCACTAGCCCCACTCAAGCACGAGCACGTAGATCTCGGCCTCCCTGCAATGAAACCGAGTCGGCATTCTCCAGGAGGCTGGATGCGGGCTGGGCTGAGGCTGGAGGAAGTCGTGGGTGGACGACAACACTAGTCTGGGAGTCCTTAGAAAGAGAAGTGGCCAACCCCAGAGGTGTGCCGGGGAAGATACGGCACATGGCCGAGGCTGCCGGAGAGGGGCCCAGGGAGCGATGGGTTTCAGGCTCAGGAATCGCCGGGCTCCGGAGGACGGAGATCTAGCAAATCCTGTGTCACCGCAAAGGTCGGACTCTGTCCTCCGTGGCCCCAGCCCTGCGAGGCCCGGCACCCACCGACAAAGAGCAGCAATCCATGGAGCCCAGCCTCCACCTGGCCCAAAGGAGGTCGGCGGCCAACTCTGGCCCAGGTAGAAGAGTCGTGATTAGATGGCACTACAGACTCCAAAATCAAGAAACGTTAGAGCCACACCGTAGTTTTCAGGGCAGAAAAGCTACTTAAAAGAAATCGCTTCCTAAACATCAAGGGTGGGGAATAAACTGTAGAGCCTTGAATGGAACGGATTTCTCTGTCTTAGCGGTCAGTGACGGCCAGCAAGGCCCGGCGGTTGGCACAGAGCCACGGCCCTGTCACCCATCTCCAGGAACCGGCCTGACCATGAACAATGCACTGAAGGCCGGTGTGTCCAGACTTGGAAGCTACCACTGCTCGTCCCCTACAACTGTGCCACCCGTGGACCCTGCGGCTGCCTCCTCCCTCGGCGTGTGTTGGGCGCTCCGGGCGGAGGCGCAGTTCTCCCGTTCCGCTCAGCGGCTGCCTGGGAGCCTGGCCCCCCGAACTTGCCGCCGACTTGGGGCGCTGCCCTCAGCCACAGACAGGCTAGGGCTGTTTGCACAAAGGGGGTCAGCATCTCAGGCTTTCAGCCAAGTTTCCCATTTACCCCTGTATGTGCAGTCAAGATTCCAGGCCTGTCCTGGTATTTTAACTGATTGGGTTCTCTGTTCATCTTCCAACAAAACCTCCCATTTGAAAAAGAAAAGCACTTCCTGAGAGTCTAAGCAGACCTGTTTGGGAAAGAAGAGAGCTCATGTCACCATCTAAATTTGGCTTGTCCCCTCTGGGGCCAGGTGGGAATGAGATGGTAGAGGGGCCGGGCTGGCGGGGCCCTGTGCCGGGGACCAGGGACCAACAAGGGGAGACCTGCACTGTGAGCTTCGAAAGAGAGGAACTCCCACCTACTTGGGACTGTTGCTTATAAAATATTACTTAATGGTGGAACAAACTCGGGAACCATCTTCCCTCTATAATAAAACAAAGCATCAAGCAAAGGCTGGTAGTAACATATGACAATAAAGGGCACCTTGAGGGCCCAGGTCTGGGAAAGGCTACTTGCAGACCGGAGACCCACAATGAGAGGGGAACTCACGGTCGGAGGGGTCCTGTGGTCAGGGGGGACCCACAGTCAGAGGGGGACCCATGTCAGGGTGGATCCATGCTCGGGGACGGGACCCACAGTCAGGGTGACAAAAGTCAGAGGGGGACCTATGGGCAGAGACCTCACAGTCAGGGGCACCTGGAGTCAGGGGGACCTAAGGTCAGAGGGACCCATGATCGGGGGAGACCTATGCTCACGGGGAGACCCAAGGTCCCAGGGGGACCCGGCCTGCCCGGAGGAAGGATTGTCCTGGATTATTTTCATTGTGAAGAATCGCGGCACGAGATCAGAATTTAGTGAGGGGGTCCTCCACGGAGCTGGCGTCCTGGCCTGGAGTCCTTCCTGGGGGCGGCAGGGCCAGTGCGTGCTGGGCTTCAGGGAGCGCCGCCTCGAGCAGCCAGGGCACAACGCGGGCCTTGAACCAGTGGGCATGTTCCGAATGGGCCGGAAGCGCCCTTGATGAAGGTCACCGAACAGCCACAGGGAAAATCGCAATAAAACCCAACCCGGGGAGAGGAGAGAGCAACAGACTTTTAGTTAAAATTACCTCCCTGAACTTCCTGTCTGCTTTCTGGGCCCGAAAGAGGAAGCGGCACTTCACGGCCTAAGAAGCCAATTTGGAAAGGGCCCCCTAGTACATGTAGGATTTCCCAAAGCCAGCCCTGGCATCCCTTCCAAAACAGGGTTCCCGTGGAGCAGGAGGGCAGCGGGGCGGCCACAGCTGGGAGCCAGGGCCAAGGACGGGGTGCCGGCCAGTCCCATCCACGCTGCCGAGCGCCCTGCCCAGCGACTCAGCCCCTCTGTGCAGGGGCAGGCGGTGAGGGGCCTCTGTTCCAGCAGCCTCTAGACCGCGCTTCTGGAGCTTCCCAGAGAGGCAGCAGGGGTCCCGTTGGAAGGTGAGGCCAATAACGTCCGGGGAGGGGACCCACCTTCCTCCCAGACCCCCTGCGGAAGTGTGCCTGGGGCTGCCCAGGGTGCCGGACCCGAGGGGGGCCTATCCGGAGCCACCCCCCAGGGTCAGTCCCCCCGAGACCGCAGGGTCTCCCTGAGCCCAGTGGACATCAGCGGGTGAGATTCCTGGCATCACTCAGAGACATGAGCCCCACGGCGGGTAGACCAGAGAGCCCTGTGCAGAGGCGAAGCCACCTTGTAGGGCAAAGTTTAGGCCAGAAACCGCAGGCGACCAAAGGATATGATTAGATAAATATACAAACGAACTTTTAAATTGTTTGCATCAAATTCCACCACGCCTGCAATCTTTTTCTGAAAAAACAAAAGATCCCGAACAGCTGGATTCATTCCTCTAGACCGTCACGCCCACCCCCTGATCTTACTCCATGCAAGAGACTGGGCTCGTTCATTCAGACAAGAACATCTAAGAGATCGTGCCCAAACCCAGGGGTCTCGGGACCACTCTGTTGGGTTCGTTGGGTGCTGCTGGTGGAGGGGCAGACGGAGGGAGAGAGGACAGGCGTCGCCCCCCAGCTCCCTCCAAAGAGGTCAGGCTGTGCCCTCCCTGCTCCAGACCCTGCTCCAGGCGGGACCGCTCTGCAGGTGCTTACCCACGGGGCTGAGCGGTCACGCTCTGTGGCTCGTGGGCCTGTGTCACTGGTGGGCGCTGACGCCCCCAGACTTGAAAACAAGCCTCTTGCCTTTCGCCCCATGTGTCTTCCTACACAGCTACACCATGAATGGTGAGCATTTGAATGGCACATTGTTAGAAGTCACAGCTCATCGGATCTTCATAATAACACTGTCGTGTGGCAGGACAAGCAAAAATGCCCCTTCTCAGTGGCAAGGATGCTGAGCAAAATCGCCCACCCGGCACACTGCTAACGGCAGAATCTTCCAATTCCATATTATGGCCTCTTTCCACTGTGCTGGAGTCCCCGCTATACCAGCTGAGCTCCTGGATGTACCCCCCACCCCGGGGGTTCAATTGTTGGTACACACCCCCTGGGGTCACACGAGGACTTCCTGAGAGCTTTTAACAAAGTCCCATACCAGGCCAATTATGTCACAGGCTCTGGAGTGGGCCCCAGGCATCCGGTTTTTAAAGCTCCCCAAGTGAATGTTCCAGGAGCCAACCCAGCCTGGCTCTGGGGATTGGGGCACTCATGACAGCTACAGCCAAAGGAAGTCCCACCTCCTGATTTTACTGAATGAAGACCAGGCCCCAGGAGTCTAGGACCCAAGGCAGTCCCTGAGTGCAGCCCAATTCCAGCAAGGCACCCCAGGCGAAAGCCTAAGGCAGCGCTCACCCACAGGGGCCTGCACGCGCTTGGACCCGCCAGCACGGCCCCCCTGCCGTGTGGTGCCTGTTCTGGCCCTGCAGACCCCAGGCCATGGGAAACAGTGGTTAGGTGTTCAGAAGCCTTGCATCCAGTTGTGAAGGGGCTGGTAGCATGCAGATGGCTGCAGCAGGGTAGGGCGCGCTCACGCAGCAGAAACCGGCTTGCACGGCAGGGCTGGTGTAGGGCTGGACTCCATCTTGGAAAGCCACTTTGCCACCACACACTGCTCCCTGGTCTCTGAGCCCAGAACCCTTCCCAAATTATTTTTCTCAATCTTTGCGTTTCCTGTCCAAATGTCCTAGCTGGTGAAATGCTGTTTATCTAAAGAACCTTTGGCGCAAATCAGCCCAGGGCATTTTCTCTAAATAATGATGCTCAGCATGGGCCCCATAGTTTATTTGCAAAACCCAGGAATGAATCGTTGTTGTTTTTTTTTTTTTTTTTTTAATGTTGGATGGCTGCTTTCCACAGGACCACTCCCCAACCCAACAGACTGTTGGTCATCTGCAGCAGTGGTCTCTTAAGCCTCCCCCCAGGGAAACCCCCAGAGATTGCATTGTTTGCTCAAGAAATAGTCCTCAGCTCCAGGACACATCACTTTCATGGCTTGATTTATAGTAGCTCCTTTTGATAAGGGGAATTTCCATCAGTTGGTTAAAAATGTTTTTAACGGCCTCTATTTTTAACACTTTCAGTTGAGGCCCTGTTTGTCTCTGTAAGTCCAAGATCCAAGGACTTTCTCTTCTCAGTAAACTGTCTTGTTATATCAGTCTTGGGGCAGCACATGTGATGGCTTTCTGGTCATGCATCTACCCACCCCTCCACCCACCCAGCATCCATCCATCCACCCCTCCACCCACCCAGCATCCATCCATCCACCCATCCATCCACCCAGCATCCATCCATCCATCCCTCCATCTATCTAGCATACATCCATCCCCACCCATCCATCCCTCCATCCACCCATCCAACCATCCATCTATCCACCCATCCATCCACCCACCCATCATTCATCCATCCATCCATCCCTCCATCCACCCATCCATCCATCCATCCATCCACCCATCCATCCACCCACCCAGCATCCATCCATCCACCCACCCATCCATCCACCCAGCATCCATCCATCCATCCACCCATCATTCATCCACTCATCCATCCATCCATCCACCCACCCACCCTTCATCCATCCAACCACCCTCCCTCCATCCATCCACCCACCCATCATTCATCCACCCAGCCATCCATCCACCCACCCAGCATCCATCCATCCACCCATCCATTCATCCACCCATCCATCCCTCCATCCACCCACCCATCCATTCATCCATCCACCCACCCACCCACCCAGCTTCCATTCATCCATCCATTCAGCATTTACTAACTTGACATTCACCCCACCCGCCCCCAGGAGGGTTCAAATGTTCACTGAGTGCTGAGTCAGGGCAGGAACTCTTCCAGGCATTGGGGATGTGGGTGTGCTACAGAGAGATCAGGTGAACAAGAGAATGTCAGGGTGACCAGGGCTCTGGAAGAGAATGTCAGGGTGACAGGGCAGAAGGGGGACATTTCTTTGTGTTCTTTAGAGGGTTCTGAGGAGGTGTTGTGTATGCAGACATACCCCCAGTATCCCTGCATTTATTCTGGGCAGTGAGGGGCAGTGACCTGCTGGAGACATGACACATGCTCAGCCATCAACCCTCTCTCAGGGGTGGACCCAAGCCAGCACCCGCTGATGGAGACGCTAGGAAGAAACCAGGAACGCTGCTCCCATAGTGGTGAGGGAGGCCAGTGGAGGAGGGGCGCTTGCCCGCCGGGGCTGGGCTTGCCCAGTGGTAAGCAGGGACTCAGGGCCCCACAGACCCACTCCTCCAGACAGAGGATGGCTAGGCTTATCTCGAAGTTGGTAGATTTATTCTGAAGAGTTAGAACACACAGTAAGTGGATAAAGATGTTCCCTCACTGAGACAGTAAAAAGCTCCTGTTCTCTCTCCTCTCCCTGTTCCCGTGGTGTGTTGTTTTGCCCGCATCCTCAGCCCACTGACCTGGGAGGGCTCTTCCCGCCCCCGGGGTCCGGGTCATCCGGCCCCGGGCTGGGCGTGTCACGAGTGCCTGACAGTTGCGTGGGGTTCGCACAGCGTGACCTGTCTACACGGGCTCTGGATCCCTGGGGTGCTCTGGTGCTGGTGGTGGTGGGACAGGCCAGGCAGGCGTGTCCGGAAGGGCGCTGCCTGGGTGAGCAGGCGGAGAGCTGCCCCCCTCTCTGGTCACCACCGCGACCAGCTGCTGGAAAGACCCCAAGTCTCAGCTTTCCCCCATGGCAAGGGCCTGCCCACTGCGAGCTGGGGCTCCCAGCTGTTGGCAGAGAAGGGGAGGGGACACGGCCCCGACACAGACTCTGAGCACCTGTCCATCTTCCCTAGATGGGTGGAGGAAGGAGGGAGCCCTGAGCCTCTCTCTCATGCTGGACAGGAACCTGGGGAACCTTTTTCCAGAATCAGTTCCCAACTTCAGACATTATCTGACATGGCTAACACCCTGTGCTTCAGCCACAGAAAGACCTAGAAATGACTCATCAGTGCCCTTGGCTTTCAGAGGTCCCGGTGGCCTGTTAGATGCCCACATGCAAGTGCTGGGAACCTGCTCTGTGGTCCTGACCGCCCCCAGGGCCCATCTCTGTGGTCTTGACCTCCCAGGGGGCCCATCTCTGTGGTCCCGACCCCCATGGGGCCACGTTCTGCGGTTATGTTCTGACCTGAAAACATGCAAAAGATCAGGATTTAGAAAGACGTGCCCAGGATAATCCCTTCAGAACAACTCTGCCTGTGGACCCAGGGAATTTGTCCCTCTGTGAGCAGGAGGAAGGTAAGGGAGGGACGTGCAGGTGGATGCCCACGACGGGGACATCCTCCGGGGCGGCATCCTGAGGTTGAGCCTCCATCCCTGCCTCCCTGGACCAGCCTCACGGCTGTGTTAGCAACCCCAACCCAACTCACAGGGCTCAATGACCAGCCAGACAAGAAGGCCTCAGGTCTGTGGGGTGGGTCCGTGCCCCCGGCCCCCTTCCCTTCCGCCACGGGCTCAGGACGCCCCTGGCCTTCCAAGAGGCCTTGTCGTCTCCACGGTGTCCCCTCACCTGCCCTGCCACTCCTCCGGTCCTGCACCC